GGGAACGTTCAACAGGCTCCTAGGCTGGAAAAGCCACATCCTATGTGTAGCGGCGTGTGGAAGTGCTTATCTTTCCTGACATAACATAGTTATGCTCTATTGAAATGAATGGAAGCAAAACGAAAACGAGCGTAACGCGATCTGTCCAGAGACATGGCAGTGACATGTGAAAGATAAGAATAATGATACCAATATTCGATGCCTGACTCTTTAACAAATTTTGAAATTTGCTATGATTGCCAAGAAGTTGAAAACGCAGGAAGATAAACTATGACTCGCCATACAGTTTATTCAAGTCTTTGATGAACTGAAAATGTAATTTCTCAATTACTGTGTTTTAACTGCGACTAGGTAGGACAGATGGCGCCACATCTCAAGCAGAGCACATGTTTAAAATTTTATGATTACTACTTTCTCTCTCACTATATAGTGAAGTGATGAACCCCTGACGACTCTACTTTCATCGCCATTTTAAGGTACCTTTACATCATAATCACTGGAAAACAACGTGCAAATTTTACTAATTTAAATGCCCGTAATTAGTAAGTTAATTCTTACTAATTTTGGCATCCATATGGCTGGATGCTTTCACTTCAGACCACATCCCGATCACAGCTACATTGGGTATCTCAAAAATGAAATCGCCTATAATCAGACTGGTTCCTTTTCATAACATGCTCAAGCAAAATCCGCTAAAAAGCAAAAATCTCTCAAATCATTTTGGTGCCGATAAAACAATTGATGAATTTACCATGCGCTCAAACGACGTTTATCAAGAAGCCGCCAGCATTGTGACTGTAAAGAATTCTGAAGGAGAACTCCCCAAAAATATAGAGCAACTTATTACATTAAGAAACCGCATACTTAAAACATGGGATCCCGTAATCAAAACGGATTGAAATCGCCTTAGCAAGATGATTAAAAAGAAATGAAAAAATTCTGTGCTGAAGAGCGGGAAGAAAAAATTGCAGATAAAGAGCTAAATTATTCATCCTTCTGGAAATTTCTCAAATCTCTTAAGACTAAATATAACTGTAATCAGCCTATTACTGCTGAGAACTCTACTGCATATTCAGATGTTGACAAAGTGAGAACATTGAACACTTACTAGAAGAGCAATTCACTCCTAACGTGATGCTGGTAGACCCAGAGTTCATAACGCAAGTTGAAGAATTTGTTGCTTCTTGGACGTGTGTTCCCTCAACAAGCCCTATACCTGACCTCACTACTCCTGGTGAAATCCATATAATAGTACGTAAGTTGGACATGAAAAAGATCTCGGGGCTTGACGTAATCACCAACAACATATTACGTAATTTTCATTCCATCAAAACTATCGCCAGATTTATTGGAATTATCAATGCCTGGTTGATTGTTATTTTCCTCATACTTCGAAAAATGCCAAGACCTTTGTTCTCGTCAAGCGCTGAAAGGACAGCACTAAAGTGGAGAATGTTCCCCTATAAGTTCGTCTTCCAATCTTAGCAAAATTTAAGAATGTACTATTGTAAAAACAATGAATCTATATCATCTCTTCGATCTATACGGATTCAGGAAGCAACTGTCTGCTTCAAAGCAGCTGGTCAGTTTGACTAAATTTATTGCCGCAGCTCTGCACCATAAAAAATGTAAGGCAGTCCTTATGCTAGACGTGGCGAAAGCATTCGATCGCATCTAACATAAGTGGTTAATCTACAAACTGATCAAGATGTATTTCAAGATAATTCCTTAATTAATTTCTTACCGACCGAAATTTTGGTGACAGTCAAGGTGTAAAAACCTTATTTCGTACTAATCAATTATTTTTATTTTAAGAAGCCTCTCTAACCTCTATTAAACGTAAGATATTTGAGTGGTAACACTTTAAAATTATTTCCTTAAAAATTCGGTGTCTCGGTACCGAACTGCCAACCCCTGCCCAAGGGACATTTCTCTCTATTGAACGATGTAACACCTGGGTACCTGGGCAACGAGGCCCTACCCCTAATAGAATTATAAAAGTTTCCTAATTGATATTTTACCTTAACTCGGCAATGAACATAAAAAGTATTAAAGCATAGTGATAATGATTTAAATATATGACCCCCCTTTTTTTTTCAAGTTTTTGATATCTTTAAACTGTTTGGCTGTGCCGTTCGAGCTAGGTGCAACAGCCTGAAATAAAAGGGGTTAACACATTAGCAAGTACGAAAAGTTTTAGTGCTGCTAGTAAAGAACTAAGACGCAATAAGAGCAAGTTGACAGATGAAGAAAATTCACAGTAATACGGCAATAAAATGTAAGAATATACATAAATATACAATAACTATAGATTCAGTACAGAAGATCCAATAAAAACCAGATTACATGCTATAAATATTCATGATGGCCATATGTCTGCTTAAATTGAATAGGCCATTATAATCATAGTAATACATTTTGATGGCTGCATTCTTGTTTTTAGCCTGGCTTTCATGAAATTTCTTGGTAAGGTTGTAGTAGTGGGTTCTACGTAATGCGACTTTAATTTCTTCGTGGATGCGGCTATTGCGTTAGTACCAAGGAGAATTTGTAATTTGGCGGAGAACATAATTCTGTGCTGTTTTGTAATCTTTGTCTATTTGATTTACAGGCATAAGCCCAGACTAAACACGCATAACAAAATAATGGGAGAACGGACTTATAAATGAGTAACTTGTTATCTAAGGATAAAACACTGTTTCGAGAAATTAGGGGGAAGAGTTGAGCTTTACGCACTCGAAACTTCTGTATAATAGATGGGATGTGTGGGGTCCATGTGAGAGGATTATTGAAGATCACCCCAAGATAAACGACTTGCTTGGCCCGGGGTAGAGTAACTCCATAAAATTTGAGGTTTTGTTTTCTTTAGAATAAGATAGCTTTGGTCTTGTCGACATTCACAAGATAATTTTCCACTTGGTGAGCCAAGCCTTTAATGCTTGTATGTGTTGTTGTAACCGTTGGATGACTGGGCCTAGAAATGCATTTTGTGTGTCATCAGCGTACATTGCAAGTGTCGTGTTGGGTTTGGCAGGGATGTCGTTCACATAAATGTTAAATAATGTAATCCAAGTAAGGATACTTGTGGCACATCGGCCTTGATAGCTCGGAGGGTGGAATATGTGCCAGGGTTACAAACAACAAAGTGTCTACCTGTTAGGTAAGATTTCATAATGTTTATGGTGTAATCTGGAAAAACCAGACAATGTAACTTGTAGAAGAGCGCATCCAGCCCCTCACGATGGAAAGCCGTATCGATGTCGATGAAAATTCCTCCGGTTACTTCTCTTTTAGCTAGCAGGCCTTCAGAGACAGTCTCCACTACCCTGCCCAAAGGACGTGCAAAGTTCTTTTCCTTGCTCATGGAGTATAAAGCTTCGTGGCTTGCTCCATGCCTAGTATCTTTATCAAAGAATGAATAAAAGCGACTTTAGACACAATAATATTACTGAACTATTGCTTAATTCCCACTTTGCCGGTTTTTGAAATAAAGCCCAATGGCACATGACGTATAAGTTCCGGACGTGGGAAAATCTCTGAAGAGAAATCGGATGTAAGCAGGAGAAGGAGAGCCACAAACCAAGCAAAGCGGAGAAAACCGAGATATCATGAAAGGTGAAGAAATGTCATTGTAACGTGGTGCCATCTGTCGAGTCTAGAAGAAACTAGATCATTCATCGTACAGAAGGAGATTAATCATCCATGTTGAGAATTCAACTGAGCATAGAGCCAGCTAGAGTTTTTCCTCTGCAGACTTCATGTATTGCTCAACAAACATAAGTAATCTGATGACAACACCTTTAATTTTGTTAAAGTCCATTTCTGAGAGTTCAGAAGAATCAATTGAAGCATAAATCACAGGAGAAGCAACTTTCTGTGATGAAACAGTCTTTGGGCGGCGTAGGAGCTTTCCGATCAGCAGTACGGTGTTTAAAAATTTTAGGATAAAATTCACAACCTTTAAGGAGGCCACGTGATTTTGTTCACATCTGACTCCGACACAAGTGGGCCTGTCATCCTTCGGAAGAGTACAAGTGTACGTGAGATGGTCTTTGCCACAGATTAAGCATTTTGGTTGGTTATTAAAAAACATTTGTAAATGGCCAAAACAATGACATCTAAAACACATCATGTAGCTACGATTGCTACGGTATTTTCGGGTACTGACTCTAAGATTTAAGAGTCTACGCTTCTTGTAAATGCTACGTCGAATGTCACCTCGCTTTAAGGAGGCGAAGAAGATGATAGGAATTACTTAAATGGCAGATATATTTTGTAATATAGTAGAAAGAAATAAACAAACCACAAATGCAAGGTACATGTTTATTAACTTGACTAACTAACTGTTGCCATTCAGCAAAGAACAAAAAAGGAGCTACACACGAGTATTAAGAAACATAGAGTCCATAATTATAGCATTGCTTTGGCAGAAACACGATCATAAAAATAAAATAAAGTTTATTTCTAACAGAAGACAGGAAGCTTCGTCAAGATAAAATTATTTTACTTAATGAATTGGGCAACCTTCATAACAGAATAGCCAGTTTCAAAAATTTCAGTACTTCATTTCATCAGTACTGGAATCTTCGGTTAACCCTCTGATCATAACTTTGATCGGAGTATCTTCTTTTGTTCTGGAAGTAGTAATTTGGACTTCGTTTTTCATAAATACAGCTAAAGCACAATCCCGATAAAAGGCAGAATCAAAAATAATGATAATTTTTTCTCTGGTAAGAGTAGAATTAAAATTATTGATACCGTTTCTAGAAAACAAAGTTCTTATTTCTTTCCAAGTAACATCGACAAATAATCGGGGGCAGTCTTTTCTTTTAGTCAGCAACAGAATCCTCTTCGTGGCTTTAGTTAGGATAAAATTCACAACTTCTTTATTAGAAAGGCCATAAAAAAAATTATGTGCATTAAGAATATGCGCATGCGTTAAGTGTAAGAATCTTGTACTGATACTAGACGCTACTAAGATTTCCTGCGAATAACGCGTTTCGAGATCATCTAGTACAGTTTGCGTTGAAACTCTGAGAAGTTCTTACTCATCATCCTAAGATAATGAAATTCAGTAATTTTCGAATAGAGAAATATTAGCATGATAATTACGGAGCTAGGCTTTGTGGTCGTTCATATTTATTCTCTTTGAGATATGCTATTTAATATAAGAGATGAATTTCGTTCATGAATTGAAAGAAATTACCTCTGTTTTTGTGCAAAAACCATATAATTCTTTATTCGATAAAGTTTATTATGCTTATTAAAATCTGAAATTTGAAGAACCTCTTACATAATAATGAAGAATATGATATAAATATATCAGACAGTATTACTAACATTAAAAGTATGCTGATTTTAATAAATCTCTTTCACATTTTGTTTAGATATAGATTATTTAATAAAACTTTTTTGATTAAGCCTCGGTATTTTTGTTAAACAATCGTTGTTTATTAGTTTTTTACTCTTGTTTGCATGCTGGAATTAAGAACATTTGGTTGCTACATTACAAAATTCTACCAAAATAATTTGGCTGATAATTAGAAAAATCTGCGAAATATATTAATTAAGAAGCACTTTTCGTATATTTGCTGAATCTACCTGTTGCTCCATTTCATTAGTTGAGCTTTTAAGTTTTTATGCTACAGATGTGTTAAATTTTTTTTACGATGTGAAAGTTATGCTTCAGATGTTAAATTGCTATTTTACCAAAGTTATGCCACTGTTACATACTGCCACATTGGTTGTCATTCAACACTTCAAGTGTACAGGTTTATTCCAATACTTGGAATTTTTTTTTTCACTTTTAGGATTCCTATTCAGGACAGTTATAGATAGGTAAAGACTTCAGGGTCTTATACCTATTGAATAAGCGAGGACCTAAGACCTAATTTGAGCTTTTATTTACTAATTACTCTTAAAACAGTGTGAAAATAAATCATTATCTTCAAATTAATTAGATCCTGATTAGAATATGTAAGTGTTAGATTAATACATGAGGTATTTACTTTATATTTTTAGTGTACTACTAAGAGAAAATATAAATCTGCTATTTATTGCTGAATTTTTTTTGCAGCAGTATTTTGTGACATTTGAACTGAAAGTTTTTGAGTTTTATTAAAGAAGAAAGAATTTTTTAAACAGAAATCAAAGTCTCATTTTTCAAGATATGCTATGCTGCCTTTTTGCATTGTCTGAATCAAAAAGTGTGAAATTTGTATTCTGAGGCAAAGCTTAAAACTTCATTTATGCAGGAGCATTTAAAAATGTTCATCTCTATGCAATATTTCACAATTTTGGGAATAGCAGACTTAGTGTGTGACTTTTCAGTATTGTTTTAAAATGTACATGTAGCTAGCAAATTAATTATTTTTATAAATTCATACACTATAAAAGTGTATAATATTTTTCATGTGAAAATATTGACATTTAAAAATACGCTTATAATTCTGATAATTTTTAGTAGTTTTTTACGAGTAGCATGGCCTTCAAAAGTATAGGCACCAAAAAGCTTCAAAAGCACTAAATACTACTCTTATTTTCATTTACTTTGTTAAGTGATCTATGATTTGTTTATTGTTTACATAAGAATGAAAAATAATTAGATTATCAAATATATAAAGCTTGATTTTATTCACATAGTATTTATTTGACAGTCTTGTAATCATAATATATGTTGTATGTGTGAAATTTAATGACACTTTCATATTCGAGTAGAAACTGAATTATTCAATATGTAATATGCAAATTTCAAATGTCAAAGGCTTACTTGTTTAGTGGCAGCCTTAACAAGGAAGTACTAGTTTAGCTTTAGCATACTAATACAATGAAATTATGTCACTGAAAGAAACATGTTGTGGAGTTGTAATAAGAATTGCTGTACAGACAACAACTAGGCAAAATATATCTTGTATTTCTTAATTTCAATATCATAAGTATGAAAAAAAAGCTTTGATTAATAAAATAAAGTAAATGGGTGTTTTTTCCTTATCTGGATGTAAATGTTGGTGGCTGCACATTTTTTTTTTTTTTTTTTCATTTTTGGTACAGCACAGCATGCCATTCTTTGTTAAAGAATTGAAAGGCTTGCTTCAGTAATAAAAATACAGTTATATTCATAAAATAAAAAAAGCAACTATCACTCTTTTCATTGAAAATACAAAAATAAATATATATTTTAATGAAAAATAATATAATAAAATGAAAATATTGGATTTAAATATCAATGGTAAATAATTAAACAGAAAGAAAAATCTTAGATCGCTGCAGAAAATGATAGTGAATGGTTATGGCATCAATGATGTTGACTAAAACAATATTTAGCATTTTATTCAACTAGCTAAATGGAAAGCACCGGTAAATGGAATATAGGACTAAAATATATTTAGCAAATGTAATGCATATACATTTAAAATACATTTCCCAATATTATATGCAGTTAAATTAGCAATTTGGAAAATGCTATTTTCAGAAGAAGGGAAAAAAAAAAAAAAAAGATGTGTATATGCAGACTTTGCATTAAAGATTGATCCTTATATTTAAAACCAAAAATATGTCTGAAGAATTAAATAAGTTTAATTTCTTCTAGATTCAAGATGGCAATTGCAAGGCCTTTGGGTATGGAATTTGATCATAGTTGGCCAGAGAGTGCAGAATGTTTAACACTTGATTTTGGACCTTTTGAGACTGCTCACCGATGGAGAAGAATGCCAGAATGTGATGAATTTGTTGGAGCTAGGTAATATCAGATTTATTTTTGTAGTGTTGATTAAGAGTTTTGCTTAGAAAAGAACCGATAGCTATCACTCATTCTGAATTATAAGTGCTTAAGTTCACATTAAGATACTCTCAGTTTGGTAGATCATACAGAAAGAATATTGAATTTAAAATATATTATTATTGCACTGCAAGTTAGTTTGAATGAGTATTCTATAGAGGGAAAAAAGGAATTGCATTATGCTCCTTTGGAATTTCAATACAAACTGCATTTCCAGTATTTTTTGTACTCTATATGTATTTTAAAATAAATTAGTTTTTCTTCATGTATATGGAAATAAGGTCTGGCGTTTTATGCTAAATACATTGTGATTAATTTCTGATTTGAAAGTATCCTCATTTCATAAAGATACTGCAGTCATAAGAATTTTATCCAGGATTTACAAACCATTCAGTATGGTAGCTAGTACCCTGTACCCGTTCTACTGACCATTGTAAAAAAAAAAAAAAAAAAAAAAAAAAAAAAAAGGGTCTGCATAAAATCCAACAGTTTAAAATGAAATGTCAGATAATTTTTTTGAAATACACACAGTAGTCACATAATATACAAACATCATCCTTTATACCAATGTAATGGACAAAGTTTAAGCGTAGTTTAAAATGCACACAATAGCAATAGTATTTCTCTGCATGTGACAAAGCTTCATTTTTATACATTTATATGTACTATTTACCTATTTCTGCTATTATCTGTAGTTGTGATTACGCTCTGTGAAGATTAAAGCTACAGCATATTTTTTATTTCAGTTTTACATTTTAAAAATCAAATATTTGAAAAGTTAAAAATTTAATTAATTATTAGGAAACATTCAAAGTTGTATTAATGAAGAAAGGTCTTAGAAATGATTCCTTTGGCAGATAAGAACAAATAGTAAAGTTAAATTTAATTTTAAATTTAAATAACTCTCTTGCGCCATTGCTGCAAGGAAGAAAATTTGAATTTAACAAATATTCTCTCATTCGTATAAAGCTAATTTAAATTTTGAATTATGAAAATTTAATTGTATACAAATAAAGATTAATTATTGCTGCAAACTAAGCATCAGAGAGCAGAGATCAGAATTCAGAGAGCATATGTTAATTAAGTGCAAGTATCTAAAACCATGAAAAAATATTTAATAATCCAAAAAATTCATTCTAAAAATTTAAAGAATTTCTAAGACTAAAGTAATTTGCATAAAGTGAATAACTGTTGAGACAGATCTTTTGAAAGGGAAGTTGCCTTCAAACCTAACTCTTCAATTACTCAATTCGTGTTTCGTCATCCATATAGGCATTGGTAAAGTATTATTCAAAACCAAAAGTGAAATCCAAATGAAATGAACAGGGCTGTGGAGTCGGAGTCGGGCAGATTTTGGGGTAAAAGTAGCTGGAGCTAGAGTCGCCAAAAACAGGTCGACTCTGACTCCAGTTTTTGTTGGACAGTTTGAATTTGAAATGAAATTAAAATGAATTGAAAAAAATTAATGACAAGCTCAGTTATTAGTTTCATTTATGGAATATATACATTAATAAATAGTTATTTTCTATTTTATTGACATATTAATAAATAAATATGAGGAGGATGGATGTGATATTTGCCATTAACAATTAAACTGATTCATTTAGTTACAAATCTCACTGGTAAATTTAGGTAAGCAGCAATAGCAGAAAGAACTCCCAAAATTGATGCCATTCTTAGGAAGCAAACAGGAAAATTAGCAATTATTGATCAAGCAACACAATCAAAAAGTATATATTTGATGATAAAGAGGTTTTTTTTTAATTAAGAATTTTTTAGAAGATGTAGATAACTCAAATGTTTCACTAACAGAAAGACTGTGGAATGATCTTGCAGAATTGGAAACTCTTCTTTCTACACCGTATGTGGCCACACAAAAAAGCTGCAATCTGAAGAATTGACAGGAGGGAAGAATGGGATGATTGTTCTTTTTGAAATGGAGGGTTTATTGCAGAAGGATTCATTTCTTCAATGAAAAGTATAAACTAGTTTGCTAGACAATTAAATCTTGCTGGGTTCAATATATGTAGATCTGAAACACCAAATTTTCTTGGATAACGAACAAATTAAAAAGGCAAAGAAAGCCATCTATGAACTTTCATTAAGAATGAAATTATTCTCAGAACAATTGGAGAATTCGAATTAGGGCAGTGAAACTGCAGACATTGCAGTTGAGTCTCTATCATCCTCTTCCAGTGATTAATTAGATTTAGAGAAATATTTTTGGATAATATTGAAAAGGCTGAGGCTAAGCAAAGCAAATGAAAATAAAGAACCAAGAGCCTTTAGATATAAAAATGGAAAAAAATACAAACAAAATTTCTACATAGCCTTTCAAGAAATAGAGAAATATGATTGTGCTTGCAAGATACCTTTTTTAGAACTTATAAAAATCTATCCTGAAAAGTTAAAAGAAGTAGCCCTAACAGTAATAGCTTTTCCTCCTACTCAAGTTAGTGTGAAAAGACTCTCCTCAGCTCTGAAGTTTATCAAATTGGATCTATGGCTCTCCAACAAAGAAGATCTTGCCAAAGCTATACTGTTTCTTAGAAATAACTAATGCCAGTTTTTCCATTTCCTAAAAATTGCTAATTAATATAAATAATTTGCTATGCCATCAATTTTTTTTTCCTGTAGCATCTATTACTTGTTTTATATTAAAAAAATAAGCTGTAACCCATGTGTATATGTTTACATATATAAATTTTAACGAATATGTATATACGTAAAAAGCAAATTTAAAGTTAAAATAATTAAAAAATGTGCAAACATATAAAAGATTTAATTTTAATTTTCGAACTAATCTACAATATCATTTAAACTCAGATAGCATAAGTAAATCAAGTGCAAAACCAAACCATGATAATAAATTCACGAATTTAGCAAATTAAAATTGATCTAAAATTTTTTAAAAAAATGCATAAGTGAATGACTGTTGAGCAGGTAGGAGACAGACTTATCAAGGGGACGTTGCCTCCAAACCTAACTCTACAATCATTCAATTCGTGTTTCGTCATTCATGCAGGTTAGGCTAAAAGTCAAAACCAAAAGTAAATACGTACATAGTGAAGAATATCCAAAAAGAAATACCAATAAAGTGGTACCTTGAGAAATTAGCAATTAAAATAAAGGTCTAAAAAACCAATATGAAGTATTATGAAAATTAAGCAATGTAAAGTTTAGTATTAAATTAAATTTAAAAAAAAATTAATTAAATTTTTCAGGAAAGTTAATTTAGAAACCAATGCATTTTAGAAAACCCTCGTCTACAGAAACCTCCCCGACACAAATATGCATATCAATCAAAAAGGAACTAAAAAGAACTAGACATAATTTATATAAACCAATAAGAAACTAAAAAGAACTAGACATAATTTATATAAACCAATAAGAAACTAAAAAGAACTAATTCATAATTTATAAAAAAACAAATAAATACTTAAAAATATAATTACATATCTAGAAAAAGCTTAAATACTACATAAAAAATACTTAAAAGCAAGTAAATAGTAAGTTTTAATTCTAACTTACCTACCATATAGCGTTATAAATAGTAAGTTTTAATTCTAACTTACTTACCATATAGCGTTATAAATACAGTCAAAAGTCGTTAATTCGGACACTCATAATCCGGACCTCAAAGCTAAAAACTTTCTGCGCATGCGCCGCGTTGACACATGCGCATAGGCGTTTACGCGTGCACGTAAGACCTCTTATGACTGCGCACTTGCGCGTGCACAAGCGCAGAATACGTTTTCGCGTGCGCGTTTTATGTATAACGGTCGGTATAAGCTAAAATTATCTAATTATCTATTTCAGTTAATGTTGATGATTGCGTTGTTCCTTAATTTTCGAATGGGATCCGGCTTATTATTTTTTGCAGACTGTAAGAGCAATACTATAAAAGTAAACTTGAACTTTCGATTATGTCAAATAGAATTTCCGATTCTGGAGCTCCTAAAGGATCGTACAAAACGAATATGAGTTTCGAATATGAGTACAAAAGAACAAGTATGTTTCGATGTCCATCAAACAAAAAGTGGAATTGCTGCAAAAAATGGATAAAGACATGAAGAATGTGACAGAGAGGTTAGTGAAAACGAAAAATTTCGATTGACAAGTTTGTCAGTATTCTCGGCACAGCAATTAACGGGACTTGAACAGTGGAACTTTGTAACTGAACAAAAAATTATATCTGTTTATAGAATTAAAGAGAAAGTATTATCACATAAAACAAAGCAACTTAAACAACTTACATTGAAAGTAATGTTTAATAAAGTAAACAAATAAATATTAAGCTTTTTTTTGTAAATTTTGATACTCTTTACATCATAATTGTTCTTTATTTCATAAATTACGGTTTCATATTTTTAATTTTAGAATTTCTGCATGCCATCTTACGCGATTTAAACTGATGATCTATAATCCGGAATCGCCGAAGTCCCGACGAGTCCGGATTAACGACTTTTGACTGTAGTAAGTTTTAATTCTAACTTTACCTACCATATAGCGTTGGGGTCTGTAAAAGTATTTCCTAAGTGATGTAAGTGTGTTCTGCAAATTATATAGATGGCGCTTATGTAAGTAAAGTTGAGTGCCAAGCTGCTATCTTTGTTTTATTAAAAATTTTGTAAACTTTAATATTAAAATATTTAAATAATATAAATCTAGAAAAAATCAAAGAATATCCTAAAAGTATGTAATTGAAGTTTGGTGAATTTATTTTCATTGTTTGGTTTTGCACTTGATTTACTTATGCTATCTAAATTTAAATGATATTGTAGATTAGTTCGAAAATTAAAACTAGATTTTTTATATGTTTGCACATTTTAAAATATTTTAACTTTAAATTTGCTTTTTTCGTATATACATGTTCGTTAAAATTTAAATTTCATTCCTTGCAGCAATGGCACAAAGAATTAATTAAATTTGTATTTAAATTCAATTTATTCTTTTGAAACAATTTTGTTTACATATATATATATATATGTATATGAGGGAATCGGAGTCAGAGTCGGAGTCTTTAAAATTGCAGGAGTCTGTCATTTTCCCTACCGACTCCACAGCCCTGGTAGTGAATTGTTTAAATAAAAAATTTTAACTATTAAAGAATTTCGAGAAATTTAGTAAACAAATTGACTATGAAATAAAATTATTAATTAAAAGTACATTGTTAATGTAATTAAGAATTTAAATCCAAAGTAATTTAGAAACTCTTGCCTATGGGAACTTCCCGTAGTACTTTGATTATCCCCCTCCTCTTTCTGAAAAGTCACCAACTCATTGACGTCTAATTTTTCACGAAGCTAATATGCAGAAGGCAACAGATATTTTCAAAATAGTGGCACACTGATAATTACACAAAAGGGCAATCAGTAATAAATTAAGAAAGCAAGAATCATCCATAGTAAAACACATACTTTTTTCAAGAAATATGTCCCCCCCCTCCTTGCCGTTCATGTCATGT